CGTCACGGATGATGGTCATCTGTGACGGCCCCAACTTAAGTCCCGTTTGAGATATGGAATGTTATCTTAATCGGGCATAAAGTTGGTGCCCATCATGGATGATGGTCATTTGTGACGGGCCCCAACTTCAAACCCGTTTGAGATATGGAATGTTATCTCAATCGGATCTAAACTACGGCTCGTCACTGATAGGTGTCATCCGTGACGGGCTTAAGTTTTATGCCCATCTAATATGTATGTGCGACCATATCTCAATCAGGTACTTTTTCGGCCCAATTGAGATGACTTTCTTGTGACGGCCTGCTATTTTCAGGTATGTTAGAGACCGTCACAGATAGAAGGATCTGTACTAGTGAGATTTAGAGATCAATTTTAATTAGTTATACCATCCTCAAGATCCAAGATGTTGTACGTACACTTTTGCAAGGCACTGCACCGACATATTTATCGCTAAGAATAATATATACTATTCGGATAATTTCCTCAGCTAATCAAAGAGCAGCCATATGAAGGCCTGTGATCGATATGCTCTCCTCGCTCGTGCATATATATATATATATATATATATATATATATATATATATATATATATATATATATATATATATATATATATATGTCAATTAGTGATGATTTGTCTCGAAGATGACTCGGCCAGAACTTAAACGAACTGGATTAGCTTTTACTACTTTGTTCTGTTTCAGTTGGTCCCATGCTGAAACCACCACAATCTTGTCCAGGATGATGGAGTGATTGTGTATTCCTGTGCGGGGCGTCGCGTGGAAACGGAACCGATCCCGCGTGAGGCTGCGACCTAGCGCTATTGTCGGACAAAAAACATATGGAAGTAAAATAGGAGATACTCGAAACCTAATCAAACACGGATGATGTTCCAAAATTTTAACAAAAATAATAATGTTAGAGATACATGCTCTGACAAATAATAATGGTAGGCTCTAATAAAATGCACCTCCTGACATGTTTGATAGGCAAAATCTATTGCGTGCGCGCTCTCTTGATCTGGACCTATCGAGCGACATATGTGTGAGCCATCCGATCAAGTGACGCATATGTGCAGGGCCATCTGATCAACTTTACCGAGAGGCTTTAGCGCGAAAAAGGACAACTATTCATGTTTTGGGGGCAACACCAACATAAATTTTGACAATTTGACCCTTTGTAAAAACTATATTTACAAATGAACCACTGCCAAAACTTATTTAAAGTCTGACCCTTTTACTCAACGCCAAATCATGTGGCGTAGAACTTAGACACCTTAGCGCCACGTCAGCTGGCACTTAATGCCGTACCACGACGGATAGGAGACTAAGTCCGTATGCCAACGTACATTCAGCGCTATACTATTTGGCATTGAGGTGTGTAAATTCAGCGCCACACGATTTGGCGTTGAGCAAAAGGGTCAGATTTGAAATAAGTTTTGGCAGCGGTTTATTTGTAAAAATAGTTTTTACAAAGGGTCAAATTGTCAAAATTTGTGCAACACCAACTCCACTAGCCCTCCTTTGCATTAGCTCATATTTTGGTACAAAACCTTTGAACACTTATATGTTTTAAACCATGTATTATTTTTTTTAAATCCGTTCTAACCATCGCACTTCACTCAAAATATATCACAAAACGAGTCTAATATTGAATTTATATAAGCATTCAAAAGTAATTTACTTAAACCCAAGAAGTAAAGTAACTTTTCGTTGCATTGAAAGTAAACATAGTGGACGAGGTTGAAATAAGAAAGTATGTGAAGTAAAATGCAAAGAATATTCACGAGCAAATAAAATTATTTTCTTTATTTTTGAAGTAATCACTATATTATTTTTTAAAAAAATAGTAATTTCATCGTATAGAAAGTCAAAAATAGAAGTAACCCTTCATGATTAGAAGTAAAATAACTCTAGAAAAATAATTACATTATAACAAAATACTAGTAGTGGAAGTAACTATGTAGAGAAATAGAAGTAACTTTTCATATATTAAAAGTAACAATCTGATATTGCTAGATGATTTTAAAAAAAGAATGAAATTTAGAAGTAATTATATATGATTTGTGTGACTTACTTTTAGGCTTTATTAAATTTCCTTTCATAAATTTCTAAGAAAACCTAAAAGTAATTTACGTATAATAAAACTAATTTATAACATATATCTTTTTTCATCGAAATATAAGCATGTAAGATCTTTCTATAAAGATTTAATTAAAACGAATAGAATGTTATAATTGAATTGTAGATTGGATATTTAATTTGAAAGAAAAGTTTATTCAAAACTTAGCTATTAGTAGTATCTTTTCCTGTTGCATGCTTGCATATTCCCACGTGAAAAAGAGATGGATTACTAATTAGACACATCTGCTTTCGGAGAGCGTACTCGGTTGAACATGATACTAATTATGGAAATAATTGTGTCACGTGTTTAGACTATTACGAAAGCAAGAACTGTGTAGTTACATCCATGTTGAGAAATTGGAATGGAAGTTTGATATGTTGTTTCTGTATGAAAAAGGGGTCCATTCAACATCTGTTTTTGGAATGTCATTATGCAAAATTTATTTAGAAAGTAGTTCAATTTTCTTTTGGTCTATACCCTCTTAATAGCATATCTCATATTTTTTATGATTGGCTTCGGGGAGTGGACAAGAAAAGTAGAAAACTTATACTTATTAGGGCATCTGCAATATGTTAGGCTCTATGATTAAGTAGGAATGATAAGATTTTTAACAAAACACCATCTATTTTATATATTCAGGTAATTTTCAAGGCAACATATTGGCTCAGATCTTAGACACAACTACAAAGGTATGATGAAGATGGCGAGCTTTTAAAGGTTGCATGTCTAATCTTTGAGACAATGGTTATGCATTTGTTTGTCAATTTCGGATGGAGGTTCATATACATAATTCAATAATTGTGTACTCTTTATCTTGGGTTGGTAGTATTTGGTTTGTTTCTTTTTTATGATTGGTGCCATTTTATTTTTATAATTATATTTGAAGTGCATTCATTTGAGTGTTAGGCTGTAATAATTGGTTGTAACTCATTGAGTAAAGGCAGGAATGTTATTCTATTATCTTGAAAAAACGTCCATGTTGATGTTACTTGTTCTCAAATTTCTTTTAGGATATATATTTATGCACGTCTGATTTCTTCTCTACTTGATATCCTACGAGATTAAAACTTGTTGAAGTTTGACCGATCTAATATACATGTAGGAAAGTATCTATAGATTTATTATACGAAAATTATTAGTTGTCCAGTTAAAGTTTCCTCCAGAATCAGAGTCAGTATTGAGAGTAATTAACGGAGTTAGTGGCATGCATGGAAGTATAGGCACGGCAGCAGTGAAGCAGTGAACCATCGTCGATAAGGTTGGTGACGCGTGATGCCAATCTATAACGCGGTGATGACCTGAATTGACCGGGAGGGATGCACGGCGCTGAGCTGCTGATGAGGCACGAGGTTTATTCCGAAGCCGACCTGACCCAACTTGCGCCGGACCGCGGCATCAGCAGTCCAGCAGACAGCTTACAACATGCCGGCTGGGGCTTTTGCTTGCACTAGCACTGCAATTTGCAATGCGTACACACCAGCAGACATGCACGGTTGACTACTCGACAATACAGTATTTCACTCGTAGTTTTAACATATTATATATGGTGTTCTTACATGTGTTTTATTGTCTTTGTCAACTATAATGCTAGTAAAGTACTTAAGGGACATATATGTAACAGAATGGCACATAACTGCAAATATTGTCCTAATAGGGATCAATGTCCGAAGGAGTGGGATCCCTTTAAATTCTTTGATTTTTGGGTGGTTTTTTTTATCATGATCTATTTTCTAGCATTAACTTTTAAATTATTAATACCATATAAAAACTTCACTCATAAATCATTTTCGATTGTTTCCTTCGAAAATTTTTCGATTGGAGCGAGCTTCCAAAGTGCAAGTCACATTAAAACCTAGTAGCTCAATCGATGTGTGCAACCTTTATGGTATTATTTGTACTTTTTTCCAGCTATAATTTCTATAAGAATCCCCAGCTTCCCCAAATAATATATAGGTTCTTACATGATTATGAGAATCAATAACTGCAAAATTCAGAAAATAAATTAGAATCGAAAAGCTAAAAAAACCAGCCTTTTCATATTTCCCCAGCAGCATGTTTACCAACCCCAAACACAGCTGTTAAAGTCATTTTTCTACTGATACTTATTATTCGTGCATCACTACAGACTAAAAATGACTTTAACAATGACTTTAACAGATATGTTCGAGGTTGGTAAGCATGTTGTTATAGCTAATTATTATTCATGCCACTTATTTTTTTAATTTGGATGATGTTGTAGCTAATTCATACACTAGTTACATATAAATATATTGTACACTATTAATACCTGACCCTACCTATCATATACATATTGCGTCTTAGAGTCTGTGTTATAGCTAGCTATAAATTTGTAGCTCGCTATTTTTCTCTCCTCTTTTATCTTCTCGATATGTCATTATAGTTAACCTATAGCATGCTCTTATGGTCTAGGACTAACCTACTTCCTCTGTTTCACAATGTAAGACTTTCTAGCATTGTCCATTGCCCACATACATATAGATGTTAATGAATCTATATATGTGTAGATTTATTAACATCTATATAAATGTGGGCAATGCTAGAAAGTCTTACATTGTGAAACGGAGGGAGTACAAACGCAAAAAGAGAAAATGTAACAATCTGGTGTGCAAATTGGGCGGGTACACCAAGAAACGCAGAGCAATCGGGGCTTCCAGCTTTGACCGGCGAAACCGACGCGAACCTGCCGTTATCCCACAACCCACCACTCCACCAGCTTTCTGCTGAGGCGAAATGAGGAGGAAACCGTCAAAGTCCACCACACCGGCGGAGGCGGAGCCCACCACCACAACAACGCGTCCACCGAAATACCGAATCCACTCCAATCCTCTTCTCCATCCTATAAGACCCATTCTTCTTCTCATCCATTCCACCCCTCCAATCCAATTTCAACTTCCAAGTTCTGTACTCCCAACCTTTTCCTCCTCTTCTTCTTTCTTCTCCTCGTCCTCCATTGATATGGCCACCGAGGTGCTGCGCCCGCACAACGTGCTCCTGCCTTCCCCGGCGCAGCGGAGGATCCGTGCCACCGCCGCCACGCACCAGAGGACGGCCAACAACCATCAGAGCGATGCGAGGACCAAGCCGACGACGGCGGGAAGCCGGAGACGTCAGGGCAGGGGCTCCTCCGCCGCCAGGAAGGCGGCCGCGAGGCCTGTAGCGGTGGAGGTGTACGCCGGGCCGGCGTTCTCCGTGTCCCCCGAGCCGAGCTCTGTGCCGCTGCCGCAGTTCCCGTTCAGGAAGGCCGCCGTCACAGCCGCCGTCGATGACGCCGCGACGCGCGACCTCCGCCGCATGCTGCGGCTGGAGTAGTAGTAGGCTCCCGTCCGTGCTTCTCTTGCTTATTGTTTTGTTCCCTTTCTGTTCTTGTGTTAGCATATGAGCTGTATGGTAGTTCTGACTAGCCTCGTGGTGAGTGGCGCGGCCGCGCGCGTTGAGGTCACCGGCTCAGTTTTATTGTGTGGCCGGAGACAAGTCAGACAGGTAACAGCGGCGGCCGTGAGCTCGGACGACGGCGGTGTAGAATGAGCTAGCGCAGCGGTATGTGGCGACCAGATGTAATTACATAGTATTTTACATTTTACATGGTAGACATATACAGTACGAGTATATTACGCGTATACGGTAGGGATCCCTTTGGTATGTACAATACAAGTCTAAAGTAAATTCTATATATGCTTTTTTAAAGAGAAGGCAAGAAATTTGTGTTATATATTGATAGAGCCGGGTTTAATTCTATACTCATTTTTAACCGAACGTGATAAATACAACGCGAATCTAGATAAAAATATGTTCAGATAAATATGTTCAGATTCATAGTATTAATATGTGTCATATTCAGTATTAAGTTGGTTTTTCGTGGGATAGAAAGGATCAAAAGAGCTTCTCATCACAACAATGAAAACCGTTTTTGCAAACAGGCAAGAAGCATTTTCGGTGGTTGGGCGGCCCGCGTGCGTGAAAAGGTCTGCAAAAATCACGATTTTTACTTGCGGCCGCTTAAGCCGGCCGCATGCGAAAAGGGAAAAATCGCGAAAAAAATAGAAGTTTCAGTCGCCTTCGCCGTCGTCCTCGAGCCGTTGCCGCTATCGTCGACGTCATCGTTCTCTCGCATCATGGCGAGAGGGCACCGGGAGGGCCACCGCCGGTGAATCGGGGCGGGGAAGGGCGACAGCCTGCGGATCTGGGCAAGGCAGGGCGGCGGCCGGTAGATTAGAACAGGGAAGGACCGCCGCTGGCGAATCAGGGCGGGGAAGGGCGGTGGTCGGTGGTTCCGGGCGGGGGAGGGCCGCCGCCGTCGCCCACGCCCGCCCTCAATGTGGCCCTCGCCCACCGCTGCCGCCGAAATCCGCGTCGCCGGAGGTCGTCATCGTTGTCGAGGTCATCGTCGTCGCGGGGGAGGGCACCTCCGCCGGATCCGCGTGGGGGGAGAGTGGTCGTCCCCGAATCCGCGCTGGGAAGGGCCGTCGTCCCCAGATCCGCGCGGGGGAGTCGTCGGGCACCTCTTCCACCGGCCTCCGTGCGGGGCACAGCCGTCGCTCGCAGCCACTACTGCCCGCTGTTGCGCCCCACTGCCCACCGCCGGCTTAGATCGAGAAGAAAGGATAGGAGGTGAAGAGGCGAGTCAGAGAGACGAGAATATAAGGTTGGCCGGCGAAGAGAGAGGAGAGTTGAAAATTTTTGAACTATTGAGAGGGAAATAGGAGGTAAGTTGGACTTGTAGAAGACTCTCTAAGAGGCTAGTATGTAAAAATCGATTTTCGCATACGGGTCTCTTAAGTGGTCCGCATGCAAAAAAAATCATGCGGCTCTTTAGACTTCGAATCGAATTTTACAATACTAAATGAACTCATGTGAAAAAGTTGTTAAAAACAAAGTTGTAGAACTCAGTGAGATCTACCAATTTTTCTTTTGGTCATTTCTCCATCCGAGTTTGGTTGAACTATATAAAATTTGAATTTTAAAATATAATAAATTCAAATAGTTTTTCGGATAGTAAATGATTTCAAATGGAAAAATTATCAACAACAAAGTTGTATAACACAACAATATCTACAAGTTTTGATTTGGTCATTTTTCTATATGACTTTGTTTCAACAATTTGAATTTGAATTTCAAAATATGACAACTTCAAACTATATTTTTGAATACTAAATAATTTCAACTGAAATAGTCATCAACAACAAAGCTCATCAGTATCTGTAACTTTTATTTTAGTCATTTCTTCATCCTACAAAGTGGTAGTAATATTGTTCACGAATTTTACGTATATCTCGTATGGTTTTATAAACTAAAAGAGAGATATGCAAATTCTGTAAACAATCTTACTATCACTTTATTGGATATAAAAATGATAAAAATAAAAGTTGTATATCTTGATGAGTTCTACAACTTTTATATTCATGACTTTTTCAAATGAAATTATTTACTGCTTCAAAATATTATTAGAAGTTGTTATTTTTTGAAATTCAAATTTTTAATTGATAAACAAAGTCACAAGAAAAAATGGCTAAAATAATAGCAGTAAGAACACAATAACATGATATAGCATGATTTTAGAAAAAATTAGGAAAAAGAATAATCCAATTTGAAGTTCATATGAGTGAGATAAACTAGTTTCAAATTTTATTTTTGCATATGGCTCCTTATGACGCTTGTATGGAAAAATCGATTTTCATATGTGGGCTCTTAAGTGATCCGCATGCAAAAATGGGCTCATTTCATTTTTGTATGGAAAAATCAATTTTTTTATACAGGTGTCTTAAGAGTTATGCTCCATTTATAAAAATTATGGGTTCTCGTAAAAAAATCGTTTTTTAAGTAGTGTGTTTCTGGCGTACACATTTGAATTATATTTGTCTTAATTAGTCCCTGCGTCAAATCGGTTGGTGGTACGTTGGCGTGCTGCCGCGCTGGCACCTACCACACCAAAGTGTTGATCGGGAGCGTTATAAGTTACGGTACAGGTTCCATCCCTCCATTCGAAAATACCTTTTTACGCAGGAAGTATCTTTTTTATTGGCAATTGATAAAAATTCATATTAAATCTGATTCCAGTAGTGTTACACCATGAAATCATGAATAAGTGATGCTTTGGAATAGGTGAAGTTGATGTGTTCAAAGTTTGATGATCAATTATTCAATTTTTCTTCAAAATACGTTTAAAACCATTATAACTTTCCTATGCTTTTTATAAGTTTTAGGGTGAATAGCTAGTTTAGTCCCTCAAGTTTCATTTAAGGCTCAATTTGGTCCTTTAAGTTTCATTTTGTCCACATAGATCCCCTAAGTATTTGTTTTGGCTTAAAATCATCTTGGACCCACATAATAAGTCATATGTCTATTTCTTGTCAATATTTACATTAGAAAATGCCCCTTTTACCCTTAATTTGTATACAACTATACACTAGAAAAGAGAAAACTAAGATGAACAAACAATATCGCATATGTACTTCCCATTATTTCAATATGTGCATATGAAACTTAAGCAATGACTATCATATACACTTGCGAGTTCGTAATTTATTTTTGCTTTACATAAATTACTATGCATTATCTATAAAAAAATTTATTACATGCAATTTTTTCTCTTATATATGTGAATGTGGGGGTATAAGAGTCATTTATCAAAAGAATTATTGGTTATGTTTGGCCATGTGGCTTCTAAGTGGGTTCAAGGATAAGTTTAACTAAAATGAAAACTTGAAGGACTAATATGAATAGATTGAAACATCAAGGACTAAACTGAGCCTTGGATGAAACTTGGAGGACCACTTGAGCTATTCACCCTAAGTTTTAAATTGAAGTAGTTAGTGATAAAATAATTGTGGTGATGACCGTTAGAGGAAGTATACTATTATTCCCTACACTATTCATTTCGAATTGAACCGTATACACACCCTATCGCTTTGCCGTTGCTAGAGCATGCCCAATAACCTCTCACTACTGCAGAAACAGGCATAGTTGCTGAACAACCTCTCACTACTATATAAACAGACATAGGTACTGTTTGGGAATTTATTTTAGGTAATGATTTTTTTAGCCGACACCAATTTATCGGCACCTATGTCCACAATTATAGGTGTCGATTCTTAACTAAATGGTTGGGGCACACCCTACATGGGCCAGGGTCCCAGACGAAGTTATAAGTCCATAGTCCCATTACAATGTTGACGCAACACATTGTTTCTATGATTCGGAGATAAGGTTGAATTCGTTGAAAAGAGAACTCCAAGAGCTTACCATCAAGTACTCAGATACCCAAAACGGAGCTCGTATGCACATTTCATGGCCGTTTGAATTCAGCACTGTAGCAGGAAGCTGAATTGGATTCCTGAACTTGGACTGTTTGATCTTGATGTCTTTCGGTTGAACTATGATGTGAGGAATAGTTGTATCAATAGTAGTAATGGTCACATCATTGAGTCGGCCACTCACTTCCTTCAAAATGCGCTGGACCACCATCTGCTGATCACCGTCAGCGAGGCGGCGACCATGGCGTGGAGGAGAGCGAGAGATACGGACGCTGCCGTCGAGGAGAGCTCCTCTAGATGGTCGGCGTCGGGCCGTCATGGCTCTGATCCCAAATCTTGCCAGCGTCCCTTGATGCCGGCGACCTGGAGCGGAGAATTCCCAAGGCGAAAACAAACACACGCGAGAGAGGAATTACCAACTCACGATGAAGTTTTATGCAGCAAACTTGCATGCTGCTTACCGATTTTCTCTCCTTTTATTTGTTACTGAATGAAGAAGTGGCCGAGAGGCCAAGTGGCCAACGATCGCGCGCACACGATCGAGCACTTCGACTTCATGCCATCCCACACGAGCGATTGTGGTGCATGTACAACGCTACAAAGACGCAACAAACTCCCGGCGTGAACTAGCACGAAGATAACAGACTCCAAACTGACACGACGAAAAAATTGGAACGACAACAGACGCGCATGGCCCGTTTTGGTTGGGGGAGTTTTTAGGAGGGATTGGGAGTTTAGAGGGATGAAGTTATTAACTCTTTTGTTTAGTTGGGAGACATGGGAATTTTAGTGGGCTGGGGATGAGGAATTGAGGAATGAACTCCCTCCTTTTCAATACCTGGGTAGGGGGTGGTAATTGGGAGGGAATTCCTCCTTTACTTCGCCTAAATAAATCTCAGCCATCCGTTTTCATTAATGACCTAATCTCCAACTAAACTCCATATCAATTTCCACCACCTCTTCCAAACAAGAGTCTAGGATGAAAAATCAAATTCCCATCTTAATCTCATTCCCTCGTGGAAACTCTCAATCCCCTTCCCTCAAGTTACCAAACAAGCCGTAAGTGACAACACAGGACTCTGAAACTTGAAGATGATCAGCGCTGGGTTTATCTCTGAAGATTGCCAACACTAGTAAGACAAGCAGTGATAATTTGGTAGGATTGGACTACTGTAATTCTCAAGAGCAAACGCTTTAGCACATAGCTAGCTAAAAAAAAAATTAGCAATAGTCCTCGAAAGAAAAACTTAGCAATAGCAAAAGAAGTAAAAAACGACTTCAACTGAACGAGCAAAATGGAATACCATATAGCATGTCCGAAATGTAATTAATAGAGAAGATATACCATCTTCCAATTAAGCAGAGTTTAGGTGCTCAACTGTAGTACATAATTTTATTTTGGGATTGGCACACACATAGTACTGAATTTATTGCTAGTTTTTAATTCCATTGCATAAATATAAAGGCTAAGGCCGGCCAAGCCTCCTGATCCCCCACACTTCTGCTCCTGTTGGTATTTCCATAGTTCATCAACATATTGACGCAGCCACAATTGTTAAAAAGCACTGGGAATACCACAGGGACATAAGAGGAGAGATCAAAGAAGCCATGCCAACGAGGCCTACTTGGACGGTGGTGCTGGTTCATCTTGGTTGAGTGGTGCTCCTTCCTGAGACCCAGCTGTAGGGGGGAATGGAAGGTCCACTTCTTCAGGTTGTGCTTCAGTCTCCTGGTTTGTAGCACGGGCATAAAGGCGTTGAATCTGCACATAAGTTCACATTTCATGGCATCAAATCTCTAGCAGGAATGATGAGGGAATGAACTAGAACTTTGTGTACTGACTCAACTGCAATGCAAAAGTATACATCACTACAAACAAACTGAACAGTTGTTCAGATTTGTTAGACACAGTGATTGGGAAATAAGAGATGAACATATCTATAGAATTATTGATCCTACATTCCGCACTTGTCATATGTTTCCAATAGTAGTGTAGTTCTATGAATTTTAGATCATATGCCCAGGGAATGAATTAGGTATGAAACAGAAATTCCAACGGTTGCCCCCATTGACTATAGTTATTTTTTTGTTGAGTGAGCTGGTGTCGACAAGTTTTTGCCAACCGGCTATTAATGTGAAGTTTAAATGCCGATCGATAGCTTATCAGGAAAAATTTAGACAATTTCCTACTGCTTTTCGGTCAACAAAATTGGAATTGCCGAATGTTGGTTCGTCGATAAGTTATATCATCCGATTATCTGTACAAAGATATTGCCTGACTACCGCCCGGCTGTAATGTTTTGACATTGTGTAGTGGCCTATCCCAGCGCAGAACCCGGTTAATTGTGTTAGCGCAGGTCCACGTCCACCCACGTGTGTTCCTAGCTAGTCGTAACGCACACGCATGGAAATGGATGGGGCTATTTGATAGGTTATATGTAGATTTTAAGTACCTCTGCTGTGGCCTCTAGCCCTCTACTAATAATATATCTACTATCAGTATTATTACCGGTAGAAATGATCTCGATTCTTAATTTACGAGTACTACTATCACTATAAAAAATATTGTACTAACTAGTAGTTTAAGTGATAGTACAAATATATGTGATTTATTGAATTAGAAAAAAAATGAAGTCTACTGTACTAGTAGGGATTGCTGTGAAACAGGAACCAGTTTATACGAGTTGATGTGAGCCTTATGAACAAGATAATGTACTTCCTATTTTAGAAATCATTAGGTAACTTTTGGGATAGGGATTACCGAAGAGCACCCTTTGCCTGCCGGCATGAAAAAATCAGCTCAGAAGCCAAGATGGACAGTAGGAAATACCGAAAGAAATATGGGGAATACCGAAAGAAATATGTTCCCAATATCCGATGCTCAAATTTATCAAGTTGGTGGAAACGTTCACAATCTAAAATACGGATTCTATGTAGAAAAAACATACCACAAAAAATTCTAGCATGAGTTTGGAGAGATCATTTAACAAACCTCAGTTCCAAGGCAAGCATTTTCAGCCCTCATATGACAAGTACTGCATATACTATTGAACTCCTGCAACTTGATTGCGTAATTCTTTTTCTTCAATTTCTCATTCTCAAGCTTCAGCTGCTCATTTTGTTGCTGGAGGGACTGTTTTCACAATTCATGCCATGTTAGTTTATCCAGTCTCTTACAACATATTTAAATTTCATGTGCTAGATAACCTATATATATATTAGTAATGCATATGTATTGTTGCATACGTTGAAGGATTTATCAATTGCTTGTGTTTTAAACATAAGAATTTTAAGAAGTAATCCTTCCATTCATAAATAGTTGTCATTTTAGGATTTACGCAGTGAAACCTCAAAACTATAAATCACTAATATATGCAAAATAATAAGATTTGATATGTGTAATAAGAATAATGCTATTGTATCACTAATAAAATGCTTTCATGAAGTAATATTTTTCTATTATTTTTAACATATGATCTGATTAGAAAATGCAATGGTAAAACGTTGTGCATTGGTCACTCTTCTAAATGGCAAGTAAAAAAATGGACGGAGTATATTGTTGTGCATACATACACTTCTAAATAAGGAACTTCTAATAGTTCATTTTCTTTAGATATGTCAGTAGTAATCTCTTAATAACACAGATCTAATATATGTGAACAAGCAAACACGGTAATCTTCGCCATTAATGTTTTTTTGAGCCATAAGTTTGTCAAAGTTGTTTTTTGAAAAAAAAGACGTTTTTTCGACTTATTTAATTTGGCTTATTTGAGGTTAAATGTTTTTATGAGTAAGTAGTAGAGGAGAACGCTACTAAGAAATATAACAATATGTACTAAGGTCACAGAGAAGAGCCAGTTCAACAAACAACGTACCACAAGGCACAATCTTATTACTCGTTATAGAGAACCACGTTCTACATCGTCCATCAGCACTCTACATCTTATATGCCACACACATGTAGGCATACATGGATTATTTGTAGAACTTTTCTGGAAAATATTACTTCTTTCCATAAAAGTATGCACTTGATCAATTGGCCTGATATGTATAATCATGTAAATGAGTTTTTAGATTTAAAGTTAATTAATTATTTATTGCATTATATATTTTTAAACATATAATATATACTTACAGCAACACACCGAACTGATGTTAGTAAATAATAGAAAAAGGCGAACTAAGAAAAACTTGAGATGAGTTAATGTTTTAACAATATCCTGAGAAGATGGAAGAAGGTTGCATAAACAATAAGTTCTGAGAATTATTGCTTTTGACCTTATTCTGAGCTTGCCTCCTCGCCAGTGAAACCTTCATTTGCTTTGATGGATATCCAGAGTTATCAGCCATTTGATTTATCTTTTTCTTCTTCAATACGAGTCTGCAGAAAAAAAAAAGTGAAATCCATTTATACATATGTACTTCCTTGTGATGCAAAAAGAAATAAGAAATGACTTGACTACCAAATTTGCTTCTTTCTTCTTCTCCCCCCCCCCCCCCCACCACTTTTTTTTTTGTGCTATAGATCCCATTGAAGCTTGTTAATTTATAATCAGCCAGAAGTAACAAGAATATGCGAGTGGCACTTTGTGGTGAAAAGTGATTTGTCATGGAAACCGTTTAATACGTCGTAGATATAAAGGTGTAAATTACTTCAGACTTATTTGTACATCAACCGACCATGAATACAAAAGTCAAGTTTGGAAACATTGCTTTTTTGCTATGCCGGCCGGACCAGCGCTACAATTTAGCTATGGTACTTTCAATTAATAAGCTAGCTAATACTAATTTATACACAAATAATACTACCATCACACTTATTAGAATATATGGCACTAAATGCAATCAACAACCATAATCCAAAAGTTTTCATGATTTTTACCAGTGAAATAATTTTCGGAAGTGTTTCCCTGTTTTATAGACATGTTTTGCTCATATATCCTTTTTGCACCCCGGCTGTACCTCTGCTTAATGCAACGCTCAGGCTGATCAACCATTCTTCTAATGAAAAAGAAATAACTAGTGGACATTTACTAAATTTTTATACTTATATTTGAAGTTTCCATTTTTACCAGCTAATATTATTGGACTTCTTTTTTAAGAGAAAAGTTCCACCATAGTCCTTACTTTCAGTTTTACTAAATATACGAATGACTTACAAACTAGCCAACTAATCACTCGAAGAGGAATAAAATAAATGTCCATGTGACCACTGGCTAAATCCCCTAATTGCTTTGGTCGTGACGTAGGTATTGGTAGTGCCATGCAAGCCACCAGACATCCTTTACTAACTCTAGTTTTACCTACAACATCACTATTCTTCGCCACTTCCCCTTCAACTGTGGGCACATTCTCCCACTAGCCAGAGAGACATGCCCTTTTTCTTTGTCACCGTCCCAATCTCCGCACCCCTATTCATCGAACGTGGCAGTGAGGCTTTGTTTACCATTCATATCGCACCTCCCATCTCCTCTGGCATCATGCACCATTATTAAAGCTGCAGCTACCAAAATATCTTTTGTTATCTAGCACCGACGAGTTGATGTACCCCAGACGAAGCCTACACTGCCGCCCATCCTATCTCCAAACTCTCGCATCCGCAACAGCACAATCAAATGTCAACTTCCTTAGCCAATAGCCATGGTTGTGGCTGCGTCACAACTACCTCGCCACATTCCAACCTCCCTTGCCCTCGTTATAACCATGATGGTCATTGTTGTTATCCTCCATGAACCCCAACTACTATCCTTAGGAAAGCAACTAGAATTGGGACAGAACTAGATTAGTGGAGATGGAGGGTATAGATTTCACAGGAACTGTCAGGAGGATAGATCCAAAGGATAAAAAATTGACATTTTCAACAAAAATGAACATGTCCTTGTTCTTTAGCTTGTGATCTGTCCATTTTATTAACTAAGATTCTGTTTAATGTTGATAGAAAATTATGGGAGTGTTAATTATTTTTCACCAAAAAGGTAGACATCAGAAAAATTTGGCAATGCTTTTGCTACATACATTAGAACTATTGTTTCATAGAAGGGAGAATTGGATAGAAATCCACTGAAAACATAAGGCATCAAAAGAATTAATTCTCTTAAGAATTTCAGAATTAAAGTTTACGCTACTTGTAAAAATATCAGATGGATTACTTACTTGAAATAAAATGTATTCCCGTTCTTGCTAAGAGTCGTGTGTGCGATGAGGATGGGAGGGGTGATGTGTGGGTTCTGACTTTTGTGGGGGTGGTGGGGGGAGGGTAGGGGGTCTTTATAGTTGAGCAATACACTTGCACTCTTTTCAACACGTGGCATTTCCATTTGTTTTTCAATATCGAATAGCTCTTCTATTAGATATTTGGTACCCTAGAGATAGATAGATGGTCTATTCAGAGATAGAGCGAAAGATTTCCGCATTCGAGATAGATGACGACTTTGTAGATAGATGGAGGATGACGCGGTTTGGGAGAATACGTGACTAGCAACATGTATTGAAATCCCTTTTGTCAATTGATATGTATCTTGGAAGGCCCAAGGTGGGATGTTCAATACGGGATGTTAGTGGGCGTCAAGGTAGCAGTTCAAAGTCATAGGGACGGAAGAGGGCGGTGCGCAGAGGAGGCATCAGGGGCAATAAAAATAGAGAGATTAGTATTTATGAGGTGGTGGGAGCAGTAATTAGTGAACTCTCTAGTGCGAGCTGTCAGAGATGAGGCAGGATCATGGTGTGGTGAAGCTAGGATTAAAATTAAATCTACTGTTCAATAGGAAAGAGAAGAGGAGTTGACTAAACTGATCAGATGTATATCGAAGGGTTAGAGACCAATTGATTAGGATTTTAAGAAATCTAAACTGATGATGGCTCAACAAGCCCAAATTATAATGTCGTATTTGTCATTAAAAAATTAGATCTTTTACCTTGTATTTTACATTGTAAAAGGACGGTGCTAGTTGTGAAGTCCAACAGTCAAGGTGGCTCTGGTACCAGCTCTATCAGCCCCTGGTTTCTTAGACTGAAAACCTCATGTATATTCCATATCAATTCCCTTCCCTATCATTACGTAGTTTGGTACACATATAAAATCATAAAGTCTTACAACATAATAAGAATACAAAAGGTTGCCCATCTGGGACACAAGTAGACTTGTCTAAATGACATAAACTGGCACAGTAGAAGCTTGTCCACTAGCATCGATTGGGAACTTAGATTCTATGGCGCCTCTTTCGGTTCCTCCTCCACTGGGAACTGCTCACACGGGTCACTTGTGGTATCTAACTCTAAAAAGGGGGAAAAAGCAATGGTGATTACATAATGTACTCACAAGCCACCACTACAACATGCATTAGTGTCCATATGGTTCAAGGAAGGTTGTAGGGTTATTTGTGCAAAGCATGTTTTCTCAGATCATTTTGCAATCCTAAGACTTAACCATTTTAACGAAAAGGGTTCGCTATTGTTCAAGTGGTTTAACCATTCCACAAAGGTTGTGTCCACCTAGCCAAGCACCGCTTGGTTCGATTTACCTTCATGGTCCAATTGTCCTGTTTCATACCCAAATCCAACCTTTCCGCCTCCTAGGAAAGCTTAGCCAAGTCTCCATCCCATCATAGCCAAATTTAAAGTTGTGAGGTTTATTCACACTGTAGTGGATGTATGCATTACCTGCAATTCGTAACATCCCCAATACATGAGACTAGTCGCAACACATGAGATGAGTCACAGCCCAATTTTTCGGTTCTTCCAACATTGCGGCAACCGCTCCAAATACTAAAAATCCCTATGCACTCTCGAGCCCTTCATCTGAACACGCTAGTCATGAGGGAAGTCTTGGACACCGAGGTTAAAGGAAATGAAAGCAAGAAATGTTTCATTTTACTCAACATGTCATTAACACACGCACTATCCTCTTTCTCCATTCTCAATGCAACACAACACATGATATTCACAACCGGCCATGACCGAGGTGTCGGCCCACAAGAATCACCTAGTCCACTATGTTGGTATTTGATATGGTCAAAGATAAATCTGCAAGTGCACGAATACCACTGTTGCACTTCACCTTAGAGTATTCCGAGGGTATCGAATCACAGGGAACGTGTGTATATATCTAAGAATAGAATTCAACCAAGGACAAAAATGAATGGTAGGCTTAGACTAGAACCAGCTATCAAGAATGGGAGGGCTTTCCACTGCTATCAAGAACCAACTGAGCTTCAACAAGATGCTGGAAACTCAAATAGCTCAGTTGGCGGTTGTTGTTCCCTCTGCCAAGACAGGGAAGATTCTAGGACAACCAAAACCCTCTTTGGAAAATGTTAATGTGGTGACCACGAGATAGGCAAGACCACTTGTGACCATGAGATAGGCAATACCATTTGTGATCTGCTGTACCCAACTCAAGCAAGCAAAGGGAAGGAGAGCCAGTAGGAGGATCCCCCTTCTAAAAACTCCGACAAGGTACATGATAGATGAACAGCTCCACAGCAGTTCAGAGATACAAACATTCTACTATTCCTCCGTCGCAACAAGAAGCCAATCATGGATGAGCAGTTCCACAAGTATTGATAAATATATGTATGCAGGTGATTTTGGATGAATTTACATCCGCCATGCAAAGAAATGTACCTCTGACCAATCATACAAAAGCACATCGATTGGAGGGCCCACATGTCAGTCAAAACCAACTGAAATTGAGCTAAGGCACGATGCACCGCCATAGGAGCCCACATGTTATAAACAGAAGGAAGTTGGTGGCCAGAGGCGGTTTGTCTGGTTTGACCAAACTAGGCTGGCACCCCTAACGCCAGCTTCCACATGGCGTTTCCCCTTTGGTCCCCAATGACGGTTACAAGTGTTTACCAACTTAACAACCGTCATTGATATGCTATAAAAGGAGGAGCTCACTTATTTTGAAACAAGAGAAGCTCACTTCACTCTCAGCAAACAATAAAGTGGAGTACAACTCACTTTAGTAGTGTGGATAAAATATGTAGAGAGTGAGGGAAGGTCCGAAGGAGGGCCAGGATTGTCAGCACTCTCTCCTTGCTTGTACCTTGACAGATGCATTTTTTTTTAAATAAAGTAAGTATTCGGGACTTCTTTTGTTATTTAGTTTACTTACTTAGGTGAGATATACTCTCATCATTGTGGGTTCGTCACTTAGTTTTTATATAAGTGCTATAGTACTAGGACTCTAGATGAAGGAGGAAGTTCCTGCGCGAGGCTAGAGTAGTAATCAATAACTTAGGCGTGGGATCTAGGTTAGTGATTATCTTCAGTTGTTGTGCGCTCCATGGAAAGTGAGTAGGCGGCCGGTGGTGACAACCTTGTCCGTCCTTTGTATCCCTCCATGTTTAGGTACATCATAGAGCTACAGGAAGGAGTCTCTTGAAAGACCTGGGGTGAACAAATACAACAACCACCCCATGGCTCTTACTCTCATTGCCCCAAACCAAGCTGCAAGTGTTTGCCCTTAGATTCCTCTCTTCTCCTAAGGTTCCTCTTGTGTTATTATCTCAAGTTTGAATAAAAATATTTTCTTCTTTCTTATGTTAAGTGAACCTTATGTATTGAGCTACAAGAACGTGTTGTGGTGGTACTACTACCCCGCAAGAACGATTGTTATGGTGCAATCTCACCTACAAGAACGATTTTGTAGAGTGTTATCACCCACAAGGATGATTTTTTCGTGGCAACCAAGCTCCACAAGAACAACTAACTCTCAGACAACTAACATGTTTTTGCTAACGTGACCTGTTCTTGAGTATTCTTATGTGTCATTTGCTTGTGTGTGCAGGATGAAGAAGAGTATCAAATGATTCCTTAGCATGATTAAGAGGGCGATGAGTTCAAGCTCCCAACACCATTCCCATAGCACGAGCGCGTGCCCATCCACCGAGTACGTGCCAAGTGAAGAGCAAGAGGAGTCCCATAGCCATGTGCCCATGGATGAGGACCAAGGTGAGACGAACATATGCCTTGACAGAGCTCAACTTGCAGAGTGCTCCAGAGAGGCAAGTCTATGCCATCCTCAAGGATCGGGTATTTGGTCACATTAGAGCATACGACGCGGACTTGCTTACCAAAACAGGTATGGATGTCGATTTTGCAAATGTGTGGCATGTTTTAGGATGGGAAGGTTTTGTGCTTGTGGATGAGCATGGTGCATGCTTTCTCACTATACAATATCTCTGTACCCTGCGAGATGTGGGCGATGGTATTACGTTCCGATTCTTCGGGACGGAATACCATCTCTCAGTGAAGAATCTCAGTCTTCATCTGGGATTCAACAAACGGTGTTCTGTGGACTTGGAGACAATGACTTTGGGTGTGTTTGGTTAGGCTTTTCAACCTGCTTTTGCTTTTACAAAAGCCAAAAGCCAACCAAAGGGCCCAAAAGGCATAGCTGCTTTTGCCCAAAGCCAGCTTTTGGTGTAGTACAAATCAAAAGCACCTCTACCCCCTGCTTTCACCTGCTTTTGGGGGAAGACATTACCCACTACTGCCATTAAAAAAAACGGTTCACATCTTCTTTTTTTTTCTCCATCTCTTCCCACGGGCGACGCTACTCGCTCCTCCTCCTCTTCACTGAGCCACCGCCGCCGCTCCTCCTTGCCCCGCCGCCGCCCTTCCTCGCCAAGCCGCCGCCGCCGCCGCTACTCCTCCTTGCGATCTGCCCCACCGCTGCCGCCGCCGCCCTTCCTCGCCGAGCCGCCGCCGCTACTCCTCCTCGCCGATCTTCCCTGCCGCTGCCGCCGTCGTCCTTCCTCGCTGAGCCACTGCCACCGCTGGTACTCCTCCTCACCGATCTGCCCCGCCGCCGCCGCTCCTCATCGCCCCACTGTCGCCGCCCTTCCTTGCTGAGCCGCCGCCGCCGCCATTGCTCCTTCTCCTCCGCCGCCGCTCCACCTCCTCACCGCTGCCTCCTCCCGGCGAGGGAGATGAGGGACGCCGTCCCTGCCCTTCCCGTCCCCGACTCCACTGCCTCCTTCCGCGATGGCGATGAAGAAGAGAAGAGAAGAGGATGGCGATAGAGAATAGAAGAGGATGGCAATGGGTGGGGGGAGGAGGAGGCGAGAGGCGACACGGGCAGATGGGGTCGACGCCAGGGTAGATGCGCTTGCTGCTCCAGGAACACATCACAGAGGTCGTCGCCCTCCGCCTCGGCCGACACATCCGGCGGAACGACGCCCGAGCGCCTTGAGTGGTTGACGGGGCGCAGGCACATGTCCAGCG